GAATTTTGTTGAGAATTTTTGCATTTATATTTATGAGAGATATTGGTCTGTAATTTTCTTTTTTTGTGGTGTCTTTGTCTGCTTTTGGTATCAGGGTTATGCTGGCTTCATAGACTTAATTCAGAAGTGTCACTTCCTTTTCTATGTTCTGAAATAGTTTGAGTGGTACTGGTACAAGCTCTTCTCTGAATGTTTGGTAGAATTCTCCAGTGAAGCCATCTGGGCCAGGGCTTTTTTTTGTTGGGAGTTTTTTTAATTACCTTTTCAATCTCTTCTCTTGTTATGGGTCTGTTCAGATTTTCAACATCATTTTGTGATAGTTTGGGTTGGTAGTGTGTTACTAGAAATTTATCCATTTCCTTTAGGTTTTCAAATTTGTTGGAGTATAGTTTTTCGTAATACTCTGTCATGATCCTTTTTATTTCAGTTGGGTCTGTTGTAATGTCCCCCATTTCATTTCTTATTTGGGTTGTTTGAGTCCTCTCCTGTTTTTCTTTTGTCAGCCTGGCCAGAGGTTTGTCAATTCTTTCAAAGAACCAACTTTTGGTTTTGTTGATTCTTTCTGTTGTTTTTCTATTCTCCTATGTAATTTTTTTTAATGCAACTATATAATATTAGCAATTGAACACAAAAGTGGTGTATGCCATTTTGGCAGAATGAGATGAACTGGATTACAAAATTTTTACTGGATGCAGAATACTCAGATTTTTACTATATACCACATTTTCTACAAAAAAGAATATTCCTCATATTATACAGCAAAGAAAATGAGTCTGTGAACTTTGTTTCAAGAATCAATATAAAATTCCAGTGCCCCTGTTTTGTTGATGTCCTAAGCATGTGTTTACCTTGCTTATTGGGTAATCTGTCCCTGAAGGAATCACAGCACATATTTTGGGGGGATACTATTTAGTCCATAATAAGGTCTTTGAAAATGTTAACAGTTAACATGAGATCATACCAGAGTAGGGTGGGCCCTAATAAAAGATAAGAGACACAGAAAGACAGAGGAAAGACAGCGATGTGAAGTTGAATCTACACGCCAAGGAGTGTCTGGAGCCATTAGAAACTAGGAGAGACAAGGAAAGATCTTCTCTTAGAGTTAACAGAGAAAGAGAGAATATGACCCTGCCAATGCCCGAATTCAGATGTCTATCCTCCAGAACTGTGAGACAATCCATTTCTGTTCTTATAAGCCACCCAATTTGTGGTATTTTGTTATGGCAGACATAGGACACTAATACAGATGGATTCTATGCCCAACATGGCTCCAAGTACTGATACACGCTGAAGAAAAGTCTCTGTTATCATAGCACCCGCTTTCTAGAGGGGGGAGACTACAATAAACAAGCCAACAAATAAACAAGAAAATTCAGTGACACGAAGTAAAACAGAAGCAAGTAATAAAATAATAATAATAATAAAGACTGGAGAGCTATTTCCAGATAAAGTGGTCAGGGAAACCTTTTCTGAGGAGGTGACATTTGAGCTAAGACTAAATGAGGAGAAAGAGCCGGCCACGCAAAGACCTGGGAGAAGAGAATTTCGTGCAGAGAGAGTCAAAAGCTTACTGATCCTGGTGTGGTGATGAGTTTGGAGTGCAGGGAACCAAGAGGAGGCCAATGTGGCTGGTTGCAGTGCAGTGATAAGAGGAGTGGATTAGGAGGCAAGTGAGGTCAGAGACAGGCAGGGGCCGGGTCCCACAGGGCCTCAATGCCAGGATGATGAGTTTGGATTTTATTCTTAGCGTAAGGGGAAGCCACCGGAAGTGTTTTAAGCAGGAAGTAATTTAATCTGATCTGGTTTTAAAATATCCCTGTACAAGGGAGAATGAAGAAAACTAAGATACAAGGGAAAGATTAGTCCAAAGGACTAATGGACCACAACTACCACGGCCTCCACCAGACTGAGTCCAGTACAACTAGATGGTGCCTGGCTACCACCACTGACTGCTCTCAGGGATCACAACAGAGGGTCCCAGACAGAGCTGGAGAAAAAGGTAGAACAAAATTCTAACTCACAAAAAAAGACCAGATTTACTGGCCTAAAGAAGACTGGAGAAACCCCGAGAGTATGGCCCCCAGACACCCTTTTAGCTCAGTGGTGAAGTTACCTCCGAGGTTCACTGTTCAGCCTGGGAGTGGACAGCCCCATAAAACCAAATGAGACTAACAAAGTGCAGGAGTCCAGTGACAAGGGCCAGAAGGCAGAAGGGGACAAGGAAGCTGGTGATAGGGAACCCAAGGTTGAGTAAGGATATTGTTGATGTGTTGTGAGATTGTTAACCATTGTCATAGGGCAACATTTGTAGTAACTGTTAAATGAGAAACTATTTTGTTCTGTAAGCCTTCATCTTAAGTGAGAATAACAGCACAATTGGAAGAGCATAGTCAATGTCACTGAACTGTGTATGTATAAATTTTTGAAATGGTGTATCTTTGGCTATGTGTATTTTCACAAAAAAAAAAAAAGAGGTTAAGAAGTTAGAGGGTTGATATGTTGTGGGGTTGTTAACCAATGTCATAAAATAACATGTGAAACTGTTTGTTCTGTAAGCCTTCACCTGAAGTACAATAAAAAAAAAATAAAAGAAGTACTGTATATTGAATATTCTAGAGAATTAGAGATGATATCATAATCCTGAAGCAAGAAAAGGTTGTTATGAAGATAAGCATTTATATATCTTAAAAATAAAATGTTCATATACACACACAAAAATTCCTCTAGCTGCTGTATGGAGATTAAATGGTAGGAGACGCAAATGTAGAATTTAGGGAGGCAAACTGGGTTATTGTACCCACTCAGGTGAGTGGAGACATTGATTGGTCTGGAGTAGTGGCCATAGAGATTTACATATCGAGAGACGGATGTGGGGGAATCCGAGAATTAAAATGACCAACCATTAAAATCACATGGGGTAAATATACACTCATAAACTTACGGGCCCGACCCTTGTTAAGCCTCAGTGCCTAAATCTGGGCTTGGAAACTATATTTTTAACAAGTTCTCTGGGATGCGCAGCCATGTTTCTGGAGTCCACTCATCCACACTGTGGTGAAGAGGCAAATGTGGTAGACTGAGCAGAGCCCAGGGTGGGAAGTCCAGCTGCAGGTTTGTTTTTGGGACTCAGTGGCCCCAAATGACTGTCAGAGCTAACAATGCCTATCACCACGACAGGCCAAGTTGTTGTGAGGAATCAATAGAATAATGTTTTTCTAGCACCCAGCAAAGGCCCAGGCCTTTGGGTAGTGTTTAGTAAATGGTACAGGCTCTGGAGTAAGGCAGGTGCGGTTGGAACACTGGCCTGGACACCATCTGCGGTGTGAATTCTCATTCTTTTTGATAATTTAATCTTCTTTATAGTCCCTGTGCATCTATAAGAAAGTATTCACTCTACACTGACACACATGGCGTTGGCATGCGTCGAAGTCGCCTTCACAGCAACTGGTTTTAATCCCAACGTAGTGACCAAACAAAAAACCTGTTACCTGCGAGTCAATTCCAACTCATAGCGACCCTATAAGACAGAGTAGAACTGCCTCCATAGGGTTACTAAGGCTATAAATCTTTATGGAAACAAACTGCCAATCTTTCTCCCCGAGGAGCGGCTGGTGGGTTCAAACCGCCAGCCTTTGAGTTAGCAGTGCAGTGTGCTTAACCACTGCACCACCAGGGCTCCCTCTGTAAACTAGGAGTGCTGTGAGAATTAAAGGAGTTAAGGTTGTGTTCATCCTTCCTGGTATGAAATAAGATGTCAAGACTATGCCCTACCCCTTGGTCTAGGGACACTGAGGACCTTGCTCCCACTGGCTGGGCTACGTTGGCTCACAGGGCACCACTGCCCTCTTATGGCCATGGATGGCATAGTGGTTAAGCGTTTGCCTGCTAACCAAAAGATCAGCAGTTTGAATCCACCAGCCGCTCCTTGGAAACCTTTTGAAGCAGTTCTACTCTGTCATATGAGTGGGAATTGACTTGCCGGCAACGGGTTTTTTTTGTTTTGTTTTTGGTGGACTCAGCAGATGGGCCCTTCTTGCACTTTGTTCTGCTCCATTGCCTTCCTCAAGGTAAGGAGGAGAGTGAAGGTCTGACTTGCCCACTTGCCCAACGACCAGGGGAGCACTAGCATTTATATCACAGATTGCCTCATAGGGTTGGTAGTCATAAGCCTTGCTTAGGAGAAAGAAGTGAGATTTATAAAACAATTGGCCTGATGAATCTTCAGGAGGCAGCGGGCCTGATCTACTGAGCACAGCACTATGTGGCTAATGAAGGCAGCTGTTCCATTTAATCCTTTTTATGATCCCTGTGCATGAAGAATTATAATCTCCAATTCCCCAAAGTTGAAACTCAAGTTTGTTGTGCTATAAACCACACAGGACAAGGGCCAGAAAGAGCGTAGTGGGAGGCAGGAAAAAGGGGTGAGGCAAACGCTCCCATTAAATAGGACTTGGAGGTGAAGCCACCTACACATGTGTTCGCTGAATCCTTAGAAAGATGCTTGGCACACAGAAAGCGCCTAATCCGCACGATGTATAACTATAAGTGAGGATCATTGTATTATGCGGGCACTTGCTCTCCCTGCCAAATATAACTGCCCTGCAAGGTTTGACTTGTTTTCTTAGACAGTTTCTTGTGTTTTCAAAGGACGTTATAATGAAAGGAGAGAACCACTGAGTATGTGGAGCATTGTTGGGGGAGGAGGTGTTGGTTGGTGCTGAACCAGCAACCTACCGGGCGGCTGTAATCTAAAATAAGCTACTAGGGACAGTGTGGAAAGAGGCTCTTCTTTTTGTACAATACTGTAGTATTTTTCTTTAGATCTTACCTCTCGATCCTCTCTCATACAAAAAAAGAATCAGACTCTTAGTGGCTTAGAGTTGGCAGGAAACTCAGAGGTCTATTTCTCAAATATCTCTAATCCTGGTAAACAGTAAGTGGGATGGTGGATATGAGACAGTTTTAGTTAAAAGCCACGCGTCATACAACGTGAGAGTTTATTACACTATTCCACAGATGCGGCCTTGCCAATAGTAAACATGGCAACTCGGCTCCTCTTTCCCTTCAAGTTAACCTAATGGTTGCCACTAGTCAACATGGCCGCCAGCCCGTGACCTCCCATTGGCGGTTTCTCAGAGGCCCTGCCCTGCTCCGCCCCTGCGAGCGTCGGCCTGGAATAGCGGGGCCGGAAATCGTGGCTCCGGGCATGGTTGCGTCTGCGCAAGTCATTGGCGCCAAGATGGCGATGGAGATGAGACTTCCAGTTGCTCGCAAACCGTTTAGCGAGAGCCTGGGTCGCGAGACTAAAAAACACCTGGTGGTGCCGGGGGACACGATCACTACAGACACGGGCTTCATGCGGTATGTGCGGACTTGGGGGACTCAGGACTCCAGTGAGCGACTGCAGGGCTCTGCACGTGGCCTACTAGCCTGAAACCCGGGCCTCTCGCGTCTAAGCCCCTCCGGGATTCAGGGCAAATCTCCAGAGCATCACAGTCCCCGGGTTTCCGAGGACTCGGACTTTTCACTGCCTGCATCTTGTGTGTTTGCGTTTGTCTCGCCCCCTGATGCCGTCCTCTTCTGCCTCAGGTGGCCTTGCCTCTTGGGTCCTCTGCCTTTGGCCCAGATCTCTAAGCCTTCCTCGTTGGAGACCTGGAAAACTGGGGAGAGTCTGGAACAGGTGCCTCTTTCCAGTTTTCAGATAAACGGTGGGCGTTTCTGATTTGGCCTCCATCTCCCTCAGCGTCATCTTGGGACCCGGAGCTGGGTTTTGGAGTCAGTAATTGTTTGGGTTTAGGGCAGACAAATATATTGTGTTACATGCATCAAAACATGACCTAAAGGCAGTGTAGTTTGTTGTAGATAAGAGGGCAGGCTCTTGAGTCAAACAGTTCTGATTCCAGTCCTGCTGCCATCACTTATTATTAGCTGTATTAACCTCCTGGAAAGTGTTTCCTCATCTGTAAAATAGTGATGATGACAGTAACTATCTGGTAGAGTAGTGAGGATTAAATGTGATTATAATGTGAAAAAGAGAAACAAAACCCACCACAATCCCACCTTAAACACTATTAGCATTTTAGTGGTATTGTAGGGTTGTTTTTTTTTTGCAGGGGGTGGGGGAGACACATGTACATATATGAGGAGTACAGCATTTACAACATTGCCTTTTTGCCCAGTTTGAGATTATTGAATCCTAGGAAATCTTAAAATTCATTCTTGCGTTCTTGCATTGAACACATATTTATATTATGTGCAGTTGGGGTACAACAGTGAACAAAATGAAAATCTCTGTCCTGGCGGAGTTTAAATTCTAACAGGGAGAGACAGTTAATGTTTGGTGATAAGTGCAATGAAAAAAACAAAAAGTCGAGCAGGGTTGTTGGAATGGGGTTGGGAATATCGTGGTGCCCGCAGCAGAGTGGATTACTATTTTAAATTGGGTAGGTCTGATGGCGAAAGTGACATTTGAGCAGACTTGAAGATGAGGGAGATGTCCATGTAGCTCTCTGGAGAAGCAGTGTTGCAGGCCCATAGAGTAGCCAGTACAAAAGCCAGGCTTTAAGGCAGAAGGAGCCTGTTAGGTTTGAGGAACACATTATCCTTAAGGGGAGAACCTCAAGTGTTACCCTCGTATTCTTTGTATCTTGCAACAGGGGCCATGGAACGTATATGGGGGAAGAAAAGCTCATAGCATCTGTGGCTGGCTCTGTGGAGAGAGTAAACAAGTTGATTTGTGTGAAAGCTTTGAAAACCAGGTGAGGACAAAAGGTGTGTATTCTCTTGCTTGAGACAACATATTGCATGACCAAGTCTCTTCTGTCTCCCTCCTTCCAACTGCCCTATCACTCTGTGGGTCTGTGATTTTGAACATGACTATAGGAAATATTGTATAGATAAGTGCAGCTTCAAAGTTTTTCCCCCATTACTTAACCTTTCCAAGCCTTGGTTACTTCCTCTGCAAAATGAGGATAAAAGCACAAGCTACCTTGTAGAATTTTTGTTAGAATTTAGTGAAATGATGAATTCATGTAAAATACTTAGCACAGAGCCTAGTACCTAGAAGGGCTAAGTAAAGGTTAGCCCCAGGAAGGAAGCCAGTGGAGTTGGAACAGTGTGAGTGAGGGGGAGAGTAGGAGCATATATAGGCAGAGAGAGCTGAGGTGGTAGGACAGTCTGGCTTGCCTTGTAGGCCATTGTAAGCATTTTGGCTTCTACTTTGTATAATCTGGAATGACACTGGAGTGGGTAGAGCAGAGGAGGGACATGACCTGACTTATGTTTTAATAAAATCACTCTGGAGGCTGTGAGGAAATTGAAGGGGGACCAGGGCAGATTTAGGAAGATAAACTCATCTGAAGTGATAGTAGCTTAGAATGAGGTAGTAGCAGTGGAAATGGGGAGTAGTGATTTTATTCTGCATATATTTTGAAGGTAGAGCTGGCAGGATTTGCTACTGGACTGATCATGGAGCATGAGAGACAGAGAGGAATCAAGGATGCCTCTCCAGGGTTTTTGGCTTGAGCATCTGGGGGGATGAAGTCATCATTTACTGAGATGGGAAGAGGAGAAGAAGGGATTGCTGGCAAGCTAAGTTTCGGGCTTGTTACTTTTGAAAATGCCTGTTAGTCATCTAAATGGAGATGTTGGGTAGTTAGCTGGATAGAATCTGGAATGTGTGGAGTAGTCGTCAGTGGTATTTAAAGCCATTAGATTGAATGAGCTCACCAAGAGATGAGTGCGAACTGAAAAGAGAAGAAGCCCAGGGACTGACCTTCAGTATTGGAACACTTCACATTAGAATCAGAGCAAAGGGGCCTGAGACAGGGCAGCCAGTGGGTGGGAAAGGCAGTGAGTGAGTGGGCCCATTTGACTGGCATCAGTGCCTGTTTGAGTGGCGTCTTGTCTCAGAATCTCCTTTTTCTTCCTGTGGCTGGTGAAGAGCCCACAGGAAAATATTCCATGCTCTGCATTAATCTAACAAAATAGGGATTTCAGGCTTAATAAACTACTTGCAATAAGTGGTTTGTTTAAGAATAGTTAATGGAGATTTTATCCATGTAGGAATGTTTGAAGTTATCGATTTCTGAAAATGAGTCTGAACAGCCTAGTTAGGTGAGTTTGCTAAATGTTCCTAATCAAGGCCATCATCCAGTTTAACTGAAATCTCAAATGGTGCTTGGCCATGTAAGACAGTCTTTTCACTGATGACCTTTTGCTTTATCTTTCAGATATAATGGTGAAGTAGGAGACATTGTAGTGGGGAGAATCACAGAGGTAAAATTGATATCAGATTGATTTTTGAAAGGCAAGCTGGTGATTTAATGAATGGGATAGTCATTCTGTGTGTAGTTACATTAATGAGGCATTCATTCCATTTGGCTGTTGTGTGACTTTTTTTTTTTTTTTTTGGAGTTTTTAAATTTTTTTTTTTATTGTACTTCAGGTGAAGGCTTACAGAACAAATAGTTTCTCATGAAACAGTAGTACACATATTGTTTTATGACATTGGTTAACAACCCCACAACATGTCAACCCTCTAACTTCTCAACCTTTTTTTTTTTTTTGGTGAAAATACACATAGCCAAAGATACACCATTTCAAAAATATCTACATGCACAGTTCAGTGACATCGACTACGCTCTTCCAATTGTGCTGTTATTCTCACTTAAGATGAAGGCTTACAGAACAAATAGTTTCTCATTTAACAGTTACTACAAATGTTGCCCTATGACAATGGTTAACAATCTCACAGCACATCAACAATATCCTTACTCAGCCTTGGTTCCCTATCACCAGCTTCCTTGTCCCCTTCTGCCTTCTGGCCCTTGTCACTGGACTACTGTACCTCGTTAGTGTCATCTGGTTTTACGGGGCTGTTGTGTGACTTTTGACGTAAACGTTTGGTTTGTTATGTTTGGGATTATCAGTTACTTAAAATGTGAGCATTTGCCCCTGAAGTACGTATCCAGGTGTGGAATTTCTTTGTAGGTTCAACAGAAGAGATGGAAGGTGGAGACCAACTCCAGGCTGGATTCAGTCTTGCTTCTCTCATCCATGAACCTTCCTGGAGGAGAGCTGGTAAGGGTCTCCAGTAAAGTCCTGGTACTGTACAGCTTGCTAGGGTGAGCTGTGAGGCCCTCTGCTCCACCAGAGAACTTTGCTTTATACTGAGGTTACTTCTGTTACTCCTATTTGTCTGCAGTGACATTTGCTGCCTGGATATAAATGTAGGTCTTTCACCTGGTCCAGTTCTCTCAACATAGGCTGCAGTCAGTGTGTGGTGATATCAGGAATGTCTATAGAGTGGGATCCCAAAAGAGAGTTGAGAAGAGAGGTCCCAGACACTTGGTGCTAACAATTTTCCTTTTCTGGGTATATCAACTTTGCACAATGATGGTGTGCCTTGAAAAGTTGTTTTTAGGTTATTTTTTTGTTAATTGAGTGACACTTGGTTATTCTAGACAATTGCAATAACTGAAGTTTTTTGTAAGATACCATGATTCACCTTTATCTTCAGTCCAGCATATATTTACAGAGGCTTATTGTGCTAGGTTCTGTGGAGAATGCCAAGACAAAGGAGACACAATTGATTCCTTAAAGCACTTACAGACTAGCAGGGGATGTGAGAGAATGAAGCCAAATACCTGGCAGTAAAAGAATAAATGCAAGTGTGTAGTTGTACAAAAGGATGAATTAATTTCAGTGAGAGGAGATCATAGAGTTGATCCTTGAAGGATGGATAGAATTTAAATGATGAGTTCAGGGATTCTGAGATAAAGGGAAATGTGTGAGCAAAGATACAGTGAAGTAAGAAGTAGTCTGGTCCTGCTGGAGCATGGAGGGCTGTCATGGAAGGTTAGTGTGGAATAGTAGGCTGTCCTAGATTGGGAGGGTTTTGAATATCAGGTAAGGCATTTGAATGTTATTCAGAGGAGGGACCAGAGAGGAAGGAGAAGTCTGTAAGCGGGGAAGTAGTGGTTATCACTTTTGTTGCCTTGAGTGGCACAGATTATCTACTTTTGCCATAGTTCTTGGTGTTTGAATATTGTGGTTGGCTTCAGAGATCTCAAGAGGAAGTGAAAGAGAAGAGAGGGACAGAATCTGACTTAAATAATGTCATTTCTTTGTGTATTTCAGAGGAGAAGATCTGCAGAAGATGAGCTTGCAATGAGAGGTTTCTTGCAGGAAGGGGACCTTATCAGTGTATCCTGTACCTTGCACTCAGCAGCTTCTGCTTTTATATGGACCTGGGAAATGTGGCTGAAATTGTATATCTCTGATGGGAGAAACATGTAGTCCTGGCAGGTGTCTGAGTCCCAGATCAAGTGTCAAGGACTGTGCCACAGCCATTTTCTGTCTCCTTCACTCAGGCTGACCTCCAGCTCTTGTTCAGACCTGCTGCTAAGTCATTTTTTTCGATATTGTAACTTACGGTGGCCATGCATAGGCTTAACTCAAGTTTTCTTAATGATGGTTTAACTTTTATTCCAGGAAGTAGAAAAGGTGTTTTTCGTATCAAGAAATTTATGACAACCAGAGAGGAGAGGTCAGGTCACAGTGATGTCCTCTGGGTCATTCCAGCTCTAAGTCAGCCCAGTGGGACTCTTAGAGATGGAAAGGATGGATATGTTGGGGCCAGGGATGTGGGGGAGGGAGGTGACATGAGAGCAGGCAGCCAAAGCTGCTGTTTTTTCCTTCATCACCCTGGCCAGGCTGAGGTCCAGGCAGTGTTCTCTGATGGAGCTGTTTCTCTTCACACGAGGAGCCTAAAATATGGAAAAGTAAGTTGGGCTCTTGCTGTTCCTGTTTGTTAACCAAGACTTCAAGTCCATTTCTGAATCCCTGAAACCCTTGTGAAATTCTGACCCAAAGAACCTGCAAAGTTAAGCATTCAAGGTTGGCATCTCACTGTGTCAGTGTTCCCAGAATTTAGAGGAAGGAAGGTCAGGATTGACATGGTCATGGGTCACTAGCACTGTAAAAGATGACAACTTTCATCCCTTTCCTACTGAGGAGATTGTTGGGGGGCAGACGAAGAGCCCCCTGTCACCATGTGTTGGGAGGCTGTGCTCACTTTGCTCCTCCCAAGGAGCACTGGAGGTTTGCATCAGGGCCAGGGCTGAAAGGCAGTTCTTGGAACGAAGGGAGATCACAGCCTGATGAAACAGGGCAGTCTCGGTCCTTACAGAAACATCTGATCAATCAAATGGATATTATTTCTAGGAAAGATTGATTTGGCACTTGAGTGCCTAAATGAAATCTCACTGTTTTTCTTGTATGAGGTTACATTATTGAGGCTGTTTATTATTTTTTTTAAGATAGCATACTTCTAAAATAAATTATTTATTACTCTCTTGGCTTTACCTGGGTGAAGCTTCATTTTCTGGATGGAACTCCCTTAGTGGCATGGCTACAGCCAACAACATTCAAGTCCTTGAAACAGGAGACAGACAGCTGCCCTGTGTGTGCTGCCCTTCCTGGACCAGGGTACCGCCCAGTGGCACCCATCTCACGTGCATTATAGCTGGCTGGGGTTAAGGATATGAACCAGGGTCATGGAACAGAACAGTGCTCCTTGGCCCACAGGAAGCTCGAACCCAAGTCCTCATTGGCTCCAACTTCTAAAAGCCAGCTCACCAGCCCTGGATTAGATGTAATGATGACTGCAAAGGAAAACGACAGAAAAGAGTATTAAAAATTATCTTCTATTGGAATGTATAGAACTATGAATCCAGAATTTTTCTTTGTGGAAATGCTTACTATGTAATCTGCTTTCCATTCTTCTCACTGATCATCCTACAGTAACTTACAATGTATCTTTCTCTTTTAGCTAGGCCAGGGTGTTTTGGTCCAGGTTTCCCCCTCCCTGGTAAAACGGCAGAAAACTCACTTCCATGACTTGCCATGTGGTGCCTCAGTGATTCTGGGTAACAATGGCTTCATCTGGATCTACCCAACACCCGAGCACAAAGAAGAGGAGGCAGGGGGCTTCACTGCAAACCTGGAAGTAAGTAAACCCTGCTGCTAATGTAGGTGGGATGGAGCAGCACTTGATCTTTGGTGTGTTTTTAAACTATATCACTGCTGTAGTGTGAGTTTGAACACACAGAGGTGTCCTCATGAACACTGTATTGCCTTCTCTTTTTGGAAGAGTTGAAATTGGGGACTGTTGGCGGAGATGGCAAAGTTGCATGGTAATAGCTGAAAAGCCTTGGAAGAAACTACCCTTTTTAATCTCCCTTGGAGTTAGCCATTCGTGATTTGTTTGGTTTGGAGTCCAGAGTGATACTTTCTGAGTCATAAATGGTTTCTTTTCTGTGATTTATGGTGACCACTCAACTTATTTTGAGTGAGTCACTGTTGTTATTTCCCTTTCCTTCCTGGTACTCTTTGCATCCACTTTGTAGCCTGTATCTCTTGCTGATCGAGAGGTGATATCCCGGCTTCGGAACTGCATTGTCTCAATGGTAACTCAGAGGATGATGCTGTATGATACCAGTATCCTGTACTGCTATGAAGCGTCCCTTCCACATCAGGTACTCTACCCAGGGCTTCCCTCCTCTTTGCTGATCGGTGAGCAGGTGTTTGGTGTTCATCCATCAGCCCCAGTGTTTCCACAGTGACAGAAAGCACATCTTCCCAAATACCCTTACCATGTCCATCAGTATGAATTGGTCTGGAGGACAGCCTTAATGAGTGTCTAGTAGATCTTCCTCTAGATATTTAAAATATTCTCAGTGTCTTGTGGGGTAATGGTGAAGCCCTTGGCTGCTACCAAAAGGTTGATGGTTCAAACCCACCAGCCACTCCCTGGGAGAAAAAACCTGGTGATCTGCTCTTGTAAAGATTACAGCTTAGGAGACTATGGGGCAGTTCTGCTTTGTCATATAGGGTTGGAATGACTATGCTATGAGTCAGAATCGACTCAATGGCACACAACAAGAACAGTATCAATCTAAGGATTTAGGGAGATGGACATGCCAGATGGGATTAGTTTATGACAGCAACCCTTTGGACTTCATCTTACCCATCCCAAATATAATGAATGTTAGAGTAATGTCTTTGTTCCTGTCAGCTATATCCCACAGAATCTTGCTGATTTATTAACCTGATTCTAGCAGATCATATCTTGCAACACTTAGCCTCTGATAAAGGCAAAATACAGAAGGTTTATATTAACCATGTTTGGTTTTTAAGTTTGGATTGGCTTGGTAATCTGCTTATGGTTGGTTCCTTTTCTGGACAAATGCCTTTTTCATTTCTTTTTCAGATCAAAGATATCTTAAAGCCAGAGATAATGGAAGAAATTGTGATGGAAACGCGCCAGAGGCTGTTAGAACAGGAAGGATAAGGAGAGGCATCTGAAGGACCAGACTGTATGTACCTGGCTGGCACTGTTCTGGAAAGGGAAGAATCAGATTGATGATCCCCATGTGTGGTTCAGTGAAGAACCAAGAAACTCCTTACTTCATCTGCATCGATGGCTGTGGGCTGCCTCCAGCCCAGACACCCTGTTTCCTCCTTCTCAGACAAATGCCTGGGTGGAGAGGTGAACAGTGCCTCTGGCCCCTCTGGTAGGCCGAGTCCCAGCACTAGGGGTAGATTCAGGTCTTTCAAAGTGTGCAGTGTTCCAGCCAAATGGACTTCCGTCCTGCAATAATATGGAGGATCCTTTGACTTCACTCACCATCATTTGAAACGCACAATACCCCATGAAATTGCCCTTATAAAAAACATGGCATCTCTGACCCCCAAATTGTCTTCGTCTTCTATTCCCCCTCTAAAGTGCAAGTACAGCATTCCAGTTGTACTTGAAGAACACAGTTGGTAAAGTTAATCTAGCAGTCGAATGGAAGAATAAAGTTAACCAAGCCATTTTGAATCTTATTTCCCATTGAATGTTTTTTCTAGTGATGGCTGAAAATATGTCCACCCCAGGCTGCCTTAAGCTCTGTCCTGCCTTTCAGGGGCAATTTGTAAGAAGCTGAATTATTAGCAACAGAGAGAATGAATGTTCTGGGTCCATGTACCTTTGGGTGTTCTGATAAACATGAAGAAAAAGTAAGAAAAATGGAGATAGAAAAAGAAAAGCTGTTTTCATCCTATAGTTGAAGTAATGCATTAATTTTTGAATTTGGGGTTAAAAGATAAAAGCAAGGTGTTGATGTTCTCACTGAGGAATGCTAAGATTGCATTGCTTTTCTGATGACTGTAAAAACGGTACTGATTTAGTTGTTGGGAAACATTTTTTAAAGGCACTGTTTTAAAGTGCTGTTTATTTCAAATATGTGGTAAACTACTTTTTTACATTACAAAGGTGGTGGTAACACCATTGATTTCTTGTGTTCTGTGTAATAATTGGGAGCTGAGTATAATAGAAGGAGGACTTAGTGGATATAAATTCCTTCTGACAGCTCCAGTTTCAATGGTAGTAATTTTGAACACTGCACTTGAAAGGTGTGAAGTACAGATTGGCTCTATTTCATTAAATAGTATTTTTTTTTCTTTATAACATTATTCAGTGGACAACTTATGTCACTTTTTTTCTACCCCAACTTGTATCACCTGTTTTGATGAGTTTGCAGACCCATCAAGGTTCTATAGATTATGCTTTAACTTTAGATTTCCTCATTTGTTGTATTTTTGAGAGAAATTTCCAGGCCTTAAGCCTCTTGAGAGAAGGGAACGGGAGAGTGGGTGTCTGAGTCCCAGGTTTGGTTTTGATTAGTGCCCATACAATAAGCTCATTGAAAATTTATCCTTATCACTTGGTCTTTCCCAAGGTTTCAGATCTATGCTGCTTATTCAGTGCTGAATGGTGATTGCCTACTAAGGGGAAATAATAGGTTTGAAAGCACCTTTTGGTGATTATCTATTTTCTATGGCCCACTAGAGGGCACCCTTGTTAAGTATAATTCCAGTAAGTGAAAAAAAACTGAAAAGCTGAAAATTTTACACTGGTACTGAATTCCTTTAGCAACCTGGTGGGTTGCTTTGCTTTATAAAAATGAGAACAAAATTAGACTCAACTGAATCACTTTTAATGAAAAGGCCATGAGCTTAAAGGGATTTAGTCAACATTTGGTAACATTTATTTGCTTTTGACGGGCATTTGCTGGGCTCTGGATCCAATTTTCAGTCCTCAAAAGTATCATTCTATAGTGTTATAGAGGAAGTAAAAAAATTCAGTGCCTCTCTAGAGAAAAATATTACAGCCTGGCCTTGGGGCTCACCTAAACTAACAAGCAATGGAAAATGAAGATTAGGGAAAATAAGCCTTTAGGTGACGTGCACGTGTTCTTTATACTGCCTATCATGAAGCATAATCTCGGTCTTTTACTGTGGAAAATCAAACAAGATCTAAGTTGATCCTCCTGTTAACCTTGTAAAGTAAGCAGATATGACCCCTATTCATAGATGAAGAAATAGATTCAGAGAATTAAAGTGACTTAAGCCCATTAGCAATTGTGAATAAAATATATTTAAGGTCTAGAGAGGTATGATAAAACCCTTCTTTAGAGTGTGGGTTGGACTGATTGTGAAAGGTTGTAGATCCAGAAATTGAGACTGATACTTTGGATTGTTATTTATTTTATGTATTTGCTGTCCCTCCCCCATGTATGCTCCATGAGGACAAGTACAGTTTTTCCCCCCACTGCTGTATCCCAGCACCTAGAACAGTGCTTGGCACATCATATGTGCTCAAGAAATGCTTGTTCAATGAATGGTGAATAAATTGTTCAAGGAGAATGTATTAGAAGGAGGTCTGATTTGATTGCCCAATTTTAAGCTAACCTAGAGGATGAGGACGTATGCAGATTTGGAGGAAATGAGTAAAGCATGAATAGTAATCAAAACAAATTTTCCAAAAAGAAAAATTGGGGGGGGGGGAGTAATCAGGATAATGAACAAATAAAGGGGACCAAGGTGTTAAAATCTGAAGAACGACTCAAGTTGCTACACTAGACATCAACCAGATAGTTTATTCTGTGACTGTGAGCAAAGCTAAACCGATTAACATTGAGTTTGTACATTACAGTTACAAATCTAGGCACACATTTTCATATGCTTCACCTCCAAGTGAGTCATTTCCTCTTGAAGGTAGTACCTATACAATCGTAGCACTATTTCCATTCCAGCAAAAATATTTCTAAAATACGTAACTCATTTGTTGGGCTAACGTGTCACCTACATATAGCAGCTGAATGTACAACGCGTATGTTGGGGCTGTGGTTTCGGCCTAATATCAGAAACTTCTGAAAAATCTATTGTTCAGTATTATGTCAACAGTTATTTGATATTGAATGGTAAAGTGGGAAGAAACATCTGTATAATGGGGAGTAATGTTACACGCCTCATTGCGCTGTGATGAGTATTAAGTGAGAATGCAGTTGATGAAAAGTGCTTAGTAACAGTGCCGGGTGTAGAATAAGCGCTGCGATGAGTAGATCTCCTTAGAAATGAGTATATCCTAACCAGGTGCAGCGCCTTGAGGAGACATGGAAGATAAAAAATAGGGGACCAGGGCCCTTTTCGGTTGTGGAAGATGGGTTATGACAGGTGTGTTCGGTGTGTTTGGATCATTTACTAGCCCTGCAGTCTTGCTAAACCCAACGATCTAGGCATTTTCTCAGCTCCCATGGAGGATGTTTGTATGTGAATACGAGTTCACCTGTGAAACGAGGTTGTTTGATCTTAAAGTTTCATTCTAGCTCGAACATCTGTGATTGCGCCTGGTAAAGCGTTGAAGAGGTGCTTTAACAAGTGCTGTTCAATGAGTGAGCCTCGTGATTCCCGGAGAACCAACAACTAAATTCGTTAGCAATACACGAGATGCTTTCCAGCTGTGTCTTTCTTCACTAGCTCTAATATTTATGCTTCTTGGGAAAAGGTGGAGATTTGGGGGGAAAGGGAAACCAAATAGCCTTGGTTTCCAGAAGCGAGCCCAATTTTCTCCCCTAAAAAGGCTCAAGGAAGTAATCCAACTCCGGTTCGGGGAAAACCCAATCCGCAGTTTTCACCTTACTTTGGCTCTTCTACGGTTTTACTACTCGCGAAGGGGAGACATCGGCCAGCCCTTCGCGAGGCCAGCTAGTCCACGGTCTCCCAGGAAGGCGGGACCGAAGCTCAGGAGTTGAGAGCAAAGGGCAAGAAGTGCCGGGTGCGCGCCGACATGAGCGGGCTCCGCGGAACCACAACTCCCGGCCTGCCCTGCGGGATGCACCGAAAGCGGTTGGCTGGGAGCTCTGGCCCCACTGCCCTCTGGCTAATGGGATGGAGGAGAGAGGCCTGACCCGGATACTCGGGAACCAATGGCAGTACAAAGGAGGCGGGTGCTTCCTAACTACTCACCTTGCACTCAGAAAAATCACATTTAAGCGGTCGTGTCGGTCCGGGTTCTCTCAGGCAGTGAGGTCAGAGCCGGAAAAGGCGACGGCTTGCCCTCAAAAGCGGCTTCGGGGGCATCCCGGTCTCTGCGAGGCGCGCTTCGGTCTTCCTAGGGGGCGGGGACAGGGGCGGAGCCTGGCCTCGTTGTGGAGCGGCTCATCATCCATCATGGCGGCCACGGGGGTCGATGTGTTTCCCTGAGCAGCGCTGGAGCCGGAGCCGGTTCCTGGGTCCTGCAGCTGAGGAGCCCCTCCGTTGTCCACAGCCCCTCTCGGCTAGGGGAGGCAGGGTCCCGCGGCGGATCTCGGGGAATGTGACTGCCTGGCGGCGGCGGCGGTGGCTACGTCCGGGACCGGGGGAGGGGGTGTCTCGGGTTGAGCCCCCTAGGCTCGGGGCAGCTGAGGCGGCCGGGCCTCCTCCCCCCTACACCAGGCTTCCGACTTTGGGGCCACGAGGGTACTTCGTCCCATACAGCCCCATCCGGGCTTCTGGGGTACTGGGGGTGGTCTCTGCTCCCCCCAGACCTGGAACACCCTGTTTCCGGAGGCGTGGAGTAGCATCGCCCCGGCAGCCTCCTTACTCCCGAGCCGCCTCTTGCTCCCATTCCCGGTCCCAAGTTTGGCCGTGGAGCCCCCCCATTCAAATTCCCTCCCTGCTGTCAAGTGGCCTCTCCTCTCCCCCCAGTTGCTCCTGCGAGCCTCTAATGCCCTGACTTCCAATGTCACCTACGGCCCCCTCAGTCTCAGCCCAGCCAAAAACTTTAATGCAAAGGAAAAGTCTGGACTGGTTTCACAGGCCTTTTAAAAAGCGAACTTAAAAGTTGCTGGCAATGCATTTCTTCTCGACAGAGTGGAAGGCAAGCTCTCGCTGAAATCTGGAGGATCTGTGTCCTTTTCCGGAGAGAAGGGTAGAGAAGCGGGAGCAGCAGCCAGTTCGGCAGGAAATTTGTTGGAAGATGAAGAAACTAAGATAGGGGGTGGGTGACTTCCACAGGAAAAGTTCTGGAGGAGCGTCTAAAGAAGAGCAACATTTCCTTTATATGGGGGTTCAAATGACTTTTGTATTGACCCTTGACAGCATTCCCTGTGAATATTTCTGTTTAAGTTTTTCCTCTTGAAAAGAAAGACATTGATATTCAGCCAGTTAGATACTTAAAATCAAACTTTTGGGTAACATTACAATTACATTACTTCAAACAGATTAACTGCGAAAATAATTGGAACTGCTGTTTACACGAGTCAATCTAAAAACTGCTTCACTCTTGTTTTGGAAGATGCCGTTTTCTGATTAACCTCTATTACTGACTTGTGGAGATGCGGTGAATGTGAAATCCCACATATATGCCATTTTCCTTTTAAGCTTACTGACTGTTCTGGAAGATCTTGAACCCTTTTCTGGGTGCCTATCATTACTTTATGGGGCAGCAGCCTGGAAAAGTTCTTGGGGACCAACGAAGGCCAAGTTTGCCTGCCCTGCACTTTATCAAAGGAGCAGGGAAGAAGGAATCATCTAGGCATGGGGGTCCACACTGCAATGTATTTGTGGAACATGGTGAGTGCTTTTCAAGATTTCTGAAGTTATGTTTTTCCTTATGTATTCAGCTTAAGTCATCAAGGGACTTTGGACAGTGTTTGTGCCAGTTCATTCCAGTGTGCTTAAAGCTTGTTACTGTAGTATCTCTTAGTTTCTGGATGAACTAATAAGAAACAGTTACTTTATGACTCTGTATGGCTTTATTCAAAATCTCCTTCAATTGCTCATGTCTTGCCTGATTCTGCTTCTAACTTACTGTTTACCTTGGACAAGCCATTTTATGGTTTCAGCGCCTCAGTTTCCTGAGAGGGTTGGACTTAGGTGATTTCTTAGGATCCATAGTTTTATGATTCTGCTCTAATCTAGGGCATGGGCTCTTCACCTGAGGTGCATACACACTTCTAGGGTGTGTACACATTTATCTACAGAGAACTTTTATCACATTCTCAAAGTGGTTTGTGCTCCCCAAAAGGTTTAAGAACCACAGATCCTAGTTGACACTAATACCCTTGACCTTTTCAATCATAAGTAGGACTTGAAAATACTTTGGAGCTATATGGGGAAAATCGAGTGGGGAAGCAGCATTCCTTGTGAATTGAGGATACATAGCTTCTAGTTATTTTACCTTAACAGGAGGAGTAATCCTTTCCCCATAGAATGAGCCTTCATCCTCCTCCCTCTCTGTTGAGAATGACATTTTGAGCAAAAAAGGTTGTATTTGACATTTTTATGAACATAATTGGTATTTGAGTGCTGACAGTACAAATTACACTGTTCACTTCCAGTAATTCTGTGTGAAATTAAAGCTAAGGGTCAACTTAAACTGATGTCTGTAACAGAAGCCAGCCATGAACTAATTAATTAGGATCCTGTTTGTACTGTTGCAGCCTGCTGTTTTCATATTGTGTATTTTATATGAAAATATCAGTTGAGCCTACCAACCCTGTAAGCAAATACAAGATATGTGCAAGTGACACACACATACTTTGAAATTCAGTCACAAATACCTTTTAACAATGGCTGATGCAAGTAAACAAAGGCTTCTGTTCAGGGAACTTGCAGTTGACAGGTAAAGTTTTACTTTTTTACAGAAAAATATTCACCTCATCTAAATAAATCTGGGTAGCTGGATTTTACTTTGCCTTAAAACATTAGTTGTATTTTAGCATTGGTTTTAGACAGGCAAATAGGGTAATGCATCACCTTATGGTGCTTCCTAAATTCAGGATTTAAAATTGGAATTTTTCACGTTTTAATTAATTATGGTCATGCAATCGTAAGTAGTGAAAATTGGTACAGACATTTTGGAGAGCTTTGGCAGAATTTATCAGAATTTAAAATGCACACACCAGTGACCCAGTAATCTCACATCTAGGAAACTAACCAAGTATAGAACAGCGTAGCGCTGAGGTGTCCCTGATGCCCCTTCAGGGGATCTAGAGGTTAAACTCTTTTCATATTAATACAATACTCCAGTGTATTTGCCTCTTTCACTGTGTTGACATCCACACTAATGGTGCAAAACTAATGCAGGTGCCTTAGCATGAATCAAGGCAGGGGCACTTAACTGTACTAGTAGCCATTGTATTCTTCATGCCGGTTACTCACAGTTTAAAAGAAAACAAAGACAACAACAATAAGCCAATTTCACTTAAGAATGTATTTGATGAAGCAGTAAAAATTATTAATTTTATTAAATCTTGACCCTTGAGTACGTCTTTTTAGTATTCTGTGGGATAAAATGGAAAGTATGCGTAAAGTATTACCGTGTACTAAAGTATGGTGGTTATACTAAGAAAGAAAAGCACTTGGGTGACTGAGTTGCAGGCTGAACTGTCTGCATTTTTGCTTGAAACTGACTGACAGACAAACCACGGTTATTCACACTTGAGTATTTGGCAGACATTTTCTCAAAAATACATGACGGAGACCGTCCCTTCAAAGAAAACAACTGATAGTATTTGTTGGCAGTGATAAAATTCGAGTGAAAATTAGAATTTTGTAAAACTTAATTTGCCACTGTGATATGGAGATAGGTGGTAATATTTACAAATGTGATATTTTGATTCCTTATAATGAAATGTAAGGAGCTCTGGTGACTCAGTGGGTAAAGTGCTGAGCTGCTAACCGAAAGGTTGGCCGTTCCAACGCACCAGCCGCTTCCAGGAGAAAGATGTGGCAGTTTGCTTCTGAAAAGATTTACAGCCTTGGAAACCTGGTGGGGCAGTTCTACTCGGTACTGAAGGGTCGGTGTGAGTTGGAACTGACTAGACGACAATGGGTTTGGTTTTATAGTTATCATTTGGAAAACCTACGCACCTCAGTGAACCAATATTTTATAAATGACCAACGCTTGGTATTTAAAATCACACACCAGTAAAAGATTTATGCAAAGTTCAGGATAGACCAATGGATTTTAATGAAACAAAACAAAAAGTTCATTGATAAGATTTCAGATTCTATATCGTAACCAACCTTAAGAAACTACCACTTATCAGGTTTTGGTGTAGCATCAAAGAAGAATATCTAAGATTATCTGAAAGGCCTACTTAAAAAAAAAAATCAGTTTTCCATTAAGATATTATTTTTATTTTTAAATGAATAAATATTTTTTTAAATTTCAGTTTTAATTT